AAGTGTGCTTTTTGTGTACTTTCGGGTCAATAATGTGGCCTTTTTGGCAGATTAACTAAAGGTGTGCTGCTGTTGTGAGGAAAGATCAGGCTGAATTTACAATGGGCCTTAATGGAGACATGTTGAAAGTTTTTGTCACTTCATGCACTCAAGAGGCATTTTGTTTAATTCTTTTTCAAGCTACGAGATGTTTTCCTACGTTTTTCATGTAAGAATCATGTCCAAGGAGTGTAGGGGTTGGGAATTATGGCAGGGTTAAAAGAAGGCGAATTTCAAGCTCTCCTGCACTCTAGCTGTGACATCACGCACTCTAAGCCTTAACGAGCTGCGCAATACACACTCATATTAAAGTCTGAAGAAGGCCTCTTTACCAAGTCTGAACAATGTTTAATATTTCAAAAAAGTATGAATCTGATTTTAAAAAATTTTGTAACACGAATAATGTCAGAAAGATGTGTAACATTTTAAAGTTGGAATGAGGTTTCTGAGTGAAAGTATGAAGGAGCAGTTAGCAGTAGAAGTCGCATGAAGACTTTTGAAGTTTGAAGAGTTTCTCCATTGACTTCCATGTTAAAAAATTTATGAATTATGGGATATATCCCTGGAATTATGAAAGTTATGAATGAGAAAAGTAATAGCCATCGATTCCAGATCGAGCTGAACGTTTTGATGTTTGAGCAGAGTTTCTGCGATTTGGAATGTGGGAGCAGAAGAGGTGCAAAATAACCCGGCGGAATAAAAATAATAAAGAATTTGTGCGTAGAAGAACAAATAGTTGGAATGCTGTATCAGCATTCCCACTAAATTATGGGGGGAGGGGGGGTTGCTGGACATACCTAACAGGTTGGTGTCCTGTGTGGACGAGGAAGAGGTCAGGTTAAACGCCATAGCAGGCAGACAGGCGCTCCTTCAGCAGAGGTGGGAACTGCTCTGAGAACTGCTGCCAGTTCTCCTCCCCCACCTGGTCCTTGAAGCCATGCAAGATCTTGGAAAAGAAAAAGGAAAACAGTCAGGGATGCCAAATAAACTCAGTAAATCAATATGTTTAAAATTGAGAGTTTAACCTGTTAACCCCTGTTTTCAGGTCTCAGGCTCGAAAATGACATTCCCAGAACAGGTGACTATATCTTCCCTTTTAAAAAAGGGGTAAATGCAGTCTTTTTTTCTCAAAGCAATGATAAACCTGTGAGTTGGATGTAAAAAAGTTAGAATCAATATAGATTTTTTTTTTATTTCAATGTAAATTCAGATTGAACATAGTACAAAAATGTAAATTATAGTGTCCGTCCAAATCTTTTTTACTTGGTGAAAACCACCCTTGAATAGGTTTTAAAAATTATTAAGAAGCCCTGAGACACAGTTTCGTGAAAAAACTAACCGCCACACCCGGATTAGGGTCCTCTCGGGCTTAACAGGTTAAAAGGACAGTGGTTTAACTTTTTTAAGAATTCAACTTAACAGGGTGCGTATTTGATCAACAAATTGTCATTTTCTTCCTCTCCCAAACTAATAAGTTGCAACCCTATAAATATGGGAAGCAACAAATTAACTAACTTTGTTATGAAATAAGTAGATAGCGATTAAACTGAATGTGAAAATGCACCAGTTGTTTTATTTATTTACAAACTGCTCTCCCTCCTCGAAACAGTAAGCTCTACACACACACTTCTCAGACTCAAAAGTCATCTGCACATTTTAATCAGATTTCGAATGTCTATAAGGTGATCATCACAGAGTGTGGCGAGCGAGCACTAAATTGAGGAACATTTCATTGAAAACATTAATCCTCTAACTTGAGGTCCTTGAGTGTGAAAAGATGGGAACAGTGATGGTACTGCTGATGACGAGGCTCTCACCTTATAAAACATGTCTCTCAGGTCGTCCTTGGGGTTGACCCAGGAGGCCACAGCGTCACAGAAGAAAATGAAGTCCTGGAGAGAGAGAGAAGAAGTTAAGAGTAAATTCAGAGCTCAAATGAACAGGGTCAGGGGTGTTAAGTGTGATTCTGGATCAGAAAATATAGGAACATAAGGTATCATTATAAATCAATGAGCTGGGTGTGTCATCATTTCCAGAAAGGATTCAGCTGGACGTCCTCTGTAGTATCTACAGCTTTTATTACACATCTGCTCACCTGCACCACGCCTGCAGGGTTCACACCGATCATCACGCAGATCCCCCTGAAGGCCGAGTCCTTGTCCTCGTTATCTCGGATATTCCTCAACGATGTGCACCTGGGAAAGGGGGGTGGACAAAAGTGGAAGGTTTATTCATCCATATTTTGTCCCAATTACTTCCTTTTCTTATGTAAACCAAAAATAATTGTCTTTTTTTCTGAATGAATTAAAGTTCATACAAATGTATTGTAATAAGGGCTACTGTGATTCAAAACAGAAAAGTGAATAGTGTCTCATTTTAATATCAGTAAACTTGTGATTTCATGACATCAGAATGACAATAAACTCACCATGGTCTGATGAACTGCTGCAGCTGTGGCGCCACCTCCTGGGGACAGACGTAACCCAGTCTGCCGATGGTAATGGCTGCACACAGGGAGACAACACAAGTTAACGTCAACTCCCTCTGACACTCAAATAATTCCAACGTTTGAAGTACACCCAACCTAAACTGTGTCTGACAGTGTGTGTACCTGTGTTTTCCAGCAAAGTCTTGGGTGTGTTGGGTCTGTTGATGATCTCTACAAGGTTTGGCAGAACCACGCCCACGTACGGCTGCATCTCTGCACCTAGAAGAACATTGATTTAACACAGGTTAAATTACATGTACTGGACTTGATTATTGAGCCCATGTGTTCTCGTTCCACGATAGGTGGAATGTATTTCAACTTTTAGAAACGTTCTGTCATGAGGAAAAGGACATTTTTCATGTACTAAAAACAATGAATGGCAAAGCGAAAAAACATTGGCAGTGTGGTTTGCACAGACTTAAATGGCAAACACTCAACTGTGCCACTTAGCTAAACATCATTTGGCATATCTGGATCAGAAATTAAAACAAAATGCATCATCTTTTTTCAATAAAGGGTTTTTCATCATATCCAGACACTGGGCTTTATATTCAAATAAGCAGACAAAAAGGGTTTATTATTTAACAATAAGCACTTACCCATTTGCATGGCGATCTCTCCAATGGCCCAGGTGGCGTTGTTACACACCGAGATAAACTCTGGGTTCAGGTTGAGTCCCAGGATGGGCATGAACTCAGCTGGAGGGAGGACACGAACACACAGGTTACAATACGAACAGAAAGACATCCAGTTACTTTTACACTACACAAGTTCTGCCTTTACAACTTCATGTATGATTTACAAACTGCTCTCTCCCTCCTTGAAACAGCAAGCTCTACACACACTTCTCAGACTCAAAAGTCATCCGCACGTTTTAAATCAGATTTCGAATGTCTATAAGGTGATCATCACAGAGTGTGGCGAGCGAGCACTAAATTGGGGAGGAACATTTAGTGCTGGTATAAAAGTATTTTACAGAGATTAAAACAGTCAATAGGCACTTTCACACCGGAGTACTTTTCCCGGTATAGTTCTGAAAATTTGCATTCACACCAAAAAAAATAGAACTAGAACTTAGTTCATGAGAATCTTTTCAGTCCCTGCTAGAGAGCAGGTACTTTCATGGGAGAAAAAGGTTCCCATTTCTGATTGGCTTGGCAGATTGCAAACCATGCCCAATAAAACTTTTTTTTTTTTATGAAGCCGCCATTTTATTTGCTGGCATTAGCATTATTAGCATTAGCCCAGCACACAAACGGAGAGAGACTAACTTATGGCAACACAAAATAAAACATGGGAGCGGTGGAGTGATGAGGAGGTGTCGGGTTACTCGGAAGGACTTCAGTAGAAGCTGCTGGGAGTCTTCCCCAACTCCGGGGACTTCCAGCCGGGGACTTCGGGTGGTAGTATACGCCGTGAAGTTGTTTGCGGCCTGCCAGTAAACCCAAAGCAGAAAGAAGAAGAAGAAGAAGAAGAAGAAGAAGAAGAAGAAGAAGAAGAAGAAGAA